AAAGAGGGCGTATGCAGAAAAAGGGGTATAGATACACACAACAGATGATGCCCCCCTGTGTGACTGCCGGGCAGGAAGTGGAAGGGAACACAGACATGGACAAGGGGAAGACGACTCTGTCTCTGCTCGGTGTCCCCAGACACGTCTCACAGGAAGAGCTGGTGCCACAGTCACAGGGCCGCCCCGCCCCGCTACTTCTCTGTTATCATAGGATGGCGTCAATCTCGGTGCGAATGGGCAAGTCCCCCTGCTGGCTGTGGGTGGTGTAGAAGTGTGTGTACACATGTGTGCATTTATGCATGCGTGCACAGTCGGTGGGGGGACAGGGAGACTAAAAGAAGGGAGGCAGCTCCCAGGGCACCTTCAGCAAGGGCACTTGTGTTTTCTCCAGCTTCACTGCTCTGAACTGATCTGATGGGTTGTGGGGCTGACTGGTCACCTGTGGAGAAGCCCCAGAGAAAGCTGGAGAAGAAAACGGCCCTCTTCTAATCAGGACAGGCTGCTCAGTGCGCCCTAGAGCCCTAGGAGACAGTGCAGAGCCTGGGCTGCTCTGGGGCACAGGCAGGAGCTGGGCCCCCCTTCCCTCCAACACACACACACTGTCTTCTCTGAGGCAGGTACAATGGCAGGCGAGGTGGGATGATCTGCATTCACTGCAACAACAGGCCTTCCATCGACAGTCTTGCCTTCCAAGTAGATCCCCAAATCTCCCTCACATTCCAGTCTCACACATTTCACAAGGAAATGAAACAGCTTGGTTTCCTAGGGCACAGGCAGGAAGTAAGTGTCCTTCATTACTTCCTTTCCAGCCAGAGGGACACTCCTGTGACGAGACCCCGAGGGCAAGAGCTGCCTCACCCAGCCTTCAAGCAATACTCAGGGAAGCCAGGAGAGAGGCCGGCTTCCCTCGCTGTGGGAATCTAGAAAAACAGGTCTTCTTCTAACTTTCACATTTAAGACAAGATGCAGAACTCAGCGAGGATCACAGGGAGCAGAAGTGATGGCTGAAGGGGTAAGCACAGTGGACCCACGGGGGAGGGCGAGGAAGGAGACTCAAGTATCCTGCAGAAGAGAAGTCGGAGGAGTGACGTAACTATGGTTTTTGGTTTTCGAGAGCTCTCACAAAAGGTGGGGAACAGCTGCGGCACACCACCACGGAGGAGTGACTACGAGGACAGGGAGATCAATTTCCTTCAGGGAACTCTTGCTTAGAGACATTTCTCTGCCCGAGTGGGGTGGGGGTGAGGGCAGAGATGATATGAAGGCCGGGCTGGGGAGTTGGGCCCCAGAATGTTATGAGCAAGGTCCCAAGTCTTCCCCGGAGCAGACTGAAGACTGGGCAAACTTCTCTGGGGCAAGTGTCCCACAGGTTCTCCACAGCTGGGCTGGAAAACCCCGGGGAGTGACTGCTCACTGGGGACAAGTGGCAGAGGCCAGTCACAGCACTGCCAGTGTTTGCAGAGCTGATCATTACGGTGCTGCAGGTCAGGCAGGAGGAAGGGGCACAGGGGGAGGTGTGGCAGGAGAGCCTTCCTGCAGGGGGTCCAGCTTGAACTGTGTCATGGAAGCCGGGCTGCCCCTGACGGTGGGGCAGGACCAGCAGAAATGGAAGGAAAGTACCACAGGGCAAAGAGGCAGAGGCAGGAGAGCCGGGTGCCATCGTGAGGGGACACACTGTCCAGCTCCACAGGCTGGCACAGAGCAAGATGTGCAAGGACAGGCTGCACCACAGGACCCTGGAGTCCCTGTCATGGCCTGGCCTTCACCCAGGTGGCTTTGAAGCATACTGCTGAGTGACACGACAGAACAGAGGAAGAGAGATGGAGGGAGAAGAGGCTGGAGGTGGGGAGGTCACCTGGGAGGTGGCTGAATGCTCTAAAAGGAGGCAGTGAAGAAGCTGTGTGGATGGGGGCTGCCTTGGAAGGGCCTGGAGGGCGATGTTGGAGTGTAGGAGGTGGTGTGCAGACAGGGCCCTATCCATCTCCGCGGGATGACAGCCCTCAGAAAGTACACGGCTGCATCCACCTGCCTGGGCCTCAGCCTGCGGCCAGCTCCACAGGGCAGCTCACTGGCAAGGCCAAGGCAAATCCTGCTTGGCCGTATGCACATGGACACTGCTGTGTGGTGTCACTAAAAACAAAGTAAACACAGGGACCAGCAGTTGGCATAATGGCTATGTTGCTGGACTCCCACGCAGTCGACCACAGTTCAAATCCCGGACCTGGTGGCTTAAACTCATGCCGGGCGCATGTGCATACATACCAGGATCCTGAGAGGAGAATGGAGGAGAAGGGATTGTGGCATGGCCATCCCCCCTGGGTGGTGATTTCTTGCTTTCTGTCTCTCTGTCTCTCTCTGTCTGTCTGGCGAGCACACGCGTCCTATAGCAAAAACCTCTCCAAAAACAACAACAACAACCAGGGGAAAAAACCCTCAAGTGAACACAAGTTCCTCCACCTGCTACCAAGTAAAGGCACAGAAGTGGCTACCGTTTACTGA